GTAGAATTAAGGCAGTTCTGAAGGCGAAAGGGGGTCAAACACCGTATTAGTATGGTGTTCCTAATAATCCTTTAGGTGAGTGTATATGGAATTCATATCTTGTTCGTCAAGATAAAAACTGTAAGTCAAGGGGAAGATTTGTTTTTTTTTGGATCCTGGAACCACGCGTCAACCACAAGACTCCTTTTTGAAATTAGTTTTGGAAATACCCTACACCTGGGTTCCTTTAAATCAGAGTTAGATAAGATTTTAACAACTCTGAGCTATTAGTTAAGTTCTCCCCAAACGAGCTTGATGGGCTGAATGGCCTCCTCTCATTTGTAAATTTCTTGTGTTTTTATGTTCTTATACTTCTTACCTCTGGTAATCAACCAATAATAAACTATCATTTACCATATATTTGGCGGGTAATTACTTAGTAATTAGGGGACTGTAAAAGGAAGTGTTAGCATTAGTGTCGCCCAGCCCTAATTATAATGGAATTGGTATGAGTGAGTACCAGAGCATATATCAGTACTCATACTGGGTTTGAGAAAAAAAGGGTTTTGATTCATCCCTAATCCTAATGTACTATGTCCTTAGTCCCTAATCCCTAGTTCTAAAGCATGAGGATATGAGAGTGAAATAGTAAATTGTTTAATGATATACTGGACTTTTTAACATGATAATTTATATTATCATTTATATTTGATGGTGTTTAGTTGCTCTCTGTGCTTGAAAATTACATTGCCGGCTCATGAAAATTTGTCTGGGCTAGTACATTTTTCTTACAGTTGGCTAGTAGCTAAAACCCTTTAGTTCCACCCATGTTCATAAAATCATGGTGGTAGGCTAACGGCATGAACAGTACGTTCCAAGGAATGGAGCATTTCCTGTGATGACAGGTAAGTCCCACCCACCTGTGAAACCTGTCTGTTCACATTCTGAAGCTTTCCATAAAGACTTCAGATCCCAACAAATCCAGGGCCTAGAGATTGCTCTAATCATGCCATGCAAGTTAATACATGTTGTTCAGTGATGTGTTGTGTTAATGAGGAATTTAACTGTTCACTGCCTTTGTTTTTCAAGTACAATGTAAAATGTATTTCAACCATACTCACCATTTCTTACCCTTAAGTCAACAGTTTACATATAGTTCTAACTTAATCTTTGTACTGCTTTTAAAAACCATAAGGACACGCAATTATCTGTAAATGTTCATGTAATTAATACAATAGTAATTAAAACCTTGGAAATAGAATTGATATGTTTGTTTTTTCAGATGAAATTTTACCACCTACAGTAATTAAATACTGTGTGTGTGTGTGTGTATGTGTGTGTGTGTGTGTGTGTGTGTGTGTGTGTGTGTGTGTGTGTACGCGCGTCTGAAAGAAAGAGCCAAGAGATAAAAGTACTTTGATTTCTAAATATAGTTCTCTCTGATTATGGCTAATCTTGTGTATATACTGTAAATAAGTTTTTTGTAACATGACAATAGGAACATGTCGGTTTATCATACAATGAAGTCTTTTGGGAGATGAGAGTTGGCATCACTCCCTATATTGCATGATCATCCCGTGTAAAAAAATAAAATGCTGTGTCCGGTGTTGACCTAATATAGGATGCGATTTGTCTTGTAGATCATCCACCCTCCATCACCCACCCCCCCGTTCCCCCAGCAAATTCTACTCACTAATGCAAGCTACACTACACTATTATTGTTAGCCACTACACTTTTTCAATTTTTTTGAATTTGTCAGTCATCTTTATAATTACGGCTCCCGGATGTCATTGATTTAATGGAAAATTACAAATTTACCACTTTTTGGCTTTCAGTCAAAACAGTAGCTGAGTAACTCTAGTCATGAATATTGACTATTACATTTGTATGTGTGTGACTAAAGATGTTGGTAATGTAAAGTTAGCTGATCTCTACTTTCCAGTCTTTGTTTATGCTCAGTGACTCAGCCTGTCTCTCACATACCAGCTGTGAAAACTAAACCAAACTAAACCTGCTACCAAAGGCCGAAGGTCACGTTTTAAGAGAAGGGCTTTTCTTAATCGAGACGATCTGTTTTGCATGTATTAATCATTCCATCTGCTGTGTTCTTCGAGAGCCACAGGAGCGTGAGGTCTCTGATGACCAGATCACTCCCACGGCCATCAGTCCTGATTTGGAAAACTTCATAGATGCTGGAAAATCATTTTTTGCCAGAGTTTCCGGCTGTGTCGTGTGACGTGACAGTTCTCTCTGTCCGGCCCCTCCCTCCTCTGTCCCTCTTCAGTGGCCCTTTGTGCGGTTCCTGTGCTTCGAGGAGCCAGCCTCGGCCCTGGCATCGCTGCTCAATGGCTTGGCTTGCCTCCTGATGCTGCTGCGCTACCGCCGGGCAGTGCCCCGCCAGAGCCCCATGTACCACACCATCAACGCCTTCTCCCTGGTTGGTGCTCCGTGGTCAAGTGATTACATAGGCCGATATGGCGGGTGTAATAGGTGCAGGATGAGCGGGAACACGGCGTAAAACTGCCCATTGTTTCTGCTGCAGGTTTCTCTCAATGCCTGGTTCTGGTCCACAGTGTTCCACACACGGGACACGTATCTCACAGAGGTGAGTTTTTATTTTCAACATGGTTCACGCAGATCAACTTAAAAACTCAGCATTTTGGCTAATGCTAACATTTCATTGCTAACCCTCTCGTAGAAGATGGACTACTTCTGCGCGTCAGCTGTCATCCTCTACTCCATTTACCTGTGTTGTGTCAGGTAAGTACGAATGGCCACTCAGGCCCTGACTGCAGACATTTACATGCAGTCCTGTGCAAAAGTCATAGGCCAACCAAAGAAAATATTTAAAGCTATTTATCTGGGCAGTAAGTGTATATGTGAGAAAGTTATTTAACATTACATTATATTTTACTTTTTTTAACCAATGCTATTGTTCAAAGTGACGTAGGCAAATGGCACATTACAAACAGACGTGCTGTTTAACAGTCAACTAGACCTAAGTGCAGCCAGTCTGAGATTCCAGTGCATGCTCAAGTGTAAGCAGTATAGGAGCAAGAGCTACACAGCATGTTACAAAAAGCACTACTGAGAAAGCTATGCTTTCTGGGAGCATCACTGCCTGCTATAGCAGCTGTAGCTCCAAAGACTGCTGAGCCCTACAGAGGGTGATACAGTGTGCTGAAAGAATTATCAGGACAGACCTTCCCACCCTGCAGGACAGCTACATCCAATGACGTAGGTCCAGGGTGTCTAGTATTATCAGACACACTCAGCAGACCATTAGGATGATTAACACCACCATTTACGAATAGTTATAGCTGCAACAAGCACTTTAAATATTTTCTTATGACTTTTTGGTAATTTTTTATATACTTTTTATTTGTTTCTATATTTTCGTACTTATTTTGTTATCTTGTTGGATGGCTAGAACACCGCTTTGGTTCCCAAACCTCTCCTCAGAGGCAGCCTGACTGTCGTGCTGACATCTGTGTAGGTCTACATTTGTAAGCCTCCTTTAAGAGCTTATTCGCAGATCTACTCTTGTCCTTCAGGACCCTAGGGTTGCGCAGGCCAGGAGTTTCCAGTATTGTGGGAGTGCTGCTAATCTTGGTCTTCACCTCGCACGTCTCCTATCTCACCTTTGTTAGCTTTGATTACGGTTACAACATGGCCGCCAATGCCACCATCGGTAAGTAAAGCCAATAGGGTCAGGGCCAGTGTGCTGAAAAAATTCAGTGATGTCACACTCCCCACCTCTGTGTGTGCTGAAATTATGGCTGTCAGTTTATTAATCATCACATATATTATATATTCACATATTATAATTACAAAGTGAGAAATAAAAAGACCTAATAATCTATACATTGATTTTAGACCAAAATTTGTGTAATTTACATTTTAAAAAATTTATTAAAGAAGCTGTGGAAGTAAAACAAATGTTTATATGTACAGTGGTACCTCAGTTCTCAAGTTCTTCATTAGAACTTGAATTTCTTAAAAGTTGAACCAACCGGTTAGAAAAAAAATTACCTAGAGCTCGATCTGAATCTCAGAATTCATACCGTGAACGCCGACCTAAGATAACTTGTACGTGCGGGGAAATGAGTCAGGCGGCACGTCTCAGCCTCAAATTCACTGTGATAGCATTGTGCATGTTTACACTAGCTGAATACATATATTTAGACAGTAAAAATACATTTAGACAATGATAGACAGTAACAGTAATTATTATATAATAAAATACATTTAAAAATAAAGATTTCTTATTCATTATTTTAATATTAATAATAAACTATTAATACATTTAATTATAATAATATTGTTGTGCCGAGCGGGGACGGAATGGAGACAAAGGCGCAGACGTCAGGGTATCGGGGAATACAGAGTTTAATTACAGGTAAGGCAGGCAAAACGCAGACGGACAATACAATGACCGGGCTGGGGAAACAAACTGAAACGCGGACGAAATACAGAGGACTACTGAGAACAACCAGAAACAGCTGATCACACGGGGATTCCATACGGGGTTAACGAGGGGGCGTGGCACACGGAAGGAGCAGACGATAGGGGCAGGACACATTGTTTTTTTAACTTTACACATTGTTTGGATATATTTATTTTCTTACTTTACAAATTGCTGTTTTGATAAATGTGCTTAGATGTGTTTAGTACAGTATATGCTCTTCTTGTTTTATCCGGGTCATTTTGTGTTTAAATTCTACAGAAAACATATTTAGGTGTAATTTTTTGGGACCGGGAACCAATTAATTGGTTTTCCATTATGTCTTATGGGGAAAATTCGATCACAACTCGAACTTTTTAGGATTCGATCCGGAGTTCTGAAAGGAGTAAGTTCGAGTTCTGAGGTACCACTGTACTTGTGTTTTTTTATTCTAGTTATGAATACTTTTAAGGATAAAATTTGAAGCTGCCAATGTTACGGCGCTTTTCCACTACCACCAAGAACCCATCCATTCCCGAGCCTTAGCGTGAACTGATGGTTTTCCATTGTAAACTGTGCGAGCGGTACCCAAGCCATACCTGAGCTGACATGGCCCTACTTACTAGCTGGGTTGAAAGCATGAATAAGCTGAGCTGCTTGCATCACCACCGTCTGATTGGTCAAAATGCATGGAGATACTGGTGTTCTAAGCATTATCTGAAGGAAAAAAGGGCATCCATCCATTATCGTAACCGCATAATCCCCACTGGGGTTGCGGGGGCCTAGAGCCTATCCTGGGAACAACAGGCACAGGCGGGAACCAATCCTGGGTGGGCGCCAACACACCACAGGGAGCACACACTCACAGGACCAATTTAGACACACCAATCAGGCTACCCTGCATGCTTCTTGGACTGTGGGAGGAAACCAGAGCCCCTGGCGAAAACCCATGCGAACATGGGGAAAGCATGCAAACTCCACACAGAAAGGACCCAGGACTGTACAAACCACTGCCACCATGCTACCGAGAATAGGGCATATTCTATATATTATTCAGTATTACTAGTATCACACATTGCAATATATTTACGCATTTCTGATAATTTGGAACCTGAAAAATAGTACTTTAAAAAAATAGTATGCATCAGCTGAACAGACAGGATTCGTAATGCATGCAAATGCTAAATCCGCTAGCATTTGATGCTAACATAAAAAATGTGCAATTCTCACATATGTGCTAGCAGAATTTAGCACATAGTAAATCGTGATGTACACTGTCTGTACAATAAATAATCATCTCTTTGGTTTTAGTTCACTGTTACTCTCCAAACCAGGCCATGCGATATGGGTTGGGTATTTCTTGGTTCCTGTATACCAGTGGAAAAGTACCAAAAGTTTTACAAAGAACTTCATTTTGTCATTAAAAGACATTTGTTGTTTTCGTTATCTGACTTTATCATGAGTCGTAAATAAATGGCAAATGAGATGTGTTGTCATTCATTAGTTGTCCATATTGGCCTTCCAATCTGAAAAGTGACTACGGTAACCTGGAAAGCCCAAATAACATGACAGGTGCAGGTAAACAATGTGATACTAAGATCTCAACAAAAGCATTCTCCTGACATCAAATAAGGCTCTACAATAGGCTGTGCATTAATGCAGTTAAACATAATTATGGTCTTCTGTTTAAAATAATTGTGTGTGATAACACATTGACATTCACAGCCCTAGCTGAAACTCAACATTTCTGTTGGAATTAGTTTAAAACCATGCAGTTAGTTACAGTTGTGCTCAGTTGTAATTAGTTAATAAGATGATTGTGATACAATTGTGCTGTTATTCTTGTTTCCAAATCCAGAAATTGCAATTTATGTGCAGAATTTTATGTCTGGTAGTTTTTCTGCAAACTAAACCAGCTGCAAACAATGAGTACTTCTACTTAGTGTTAACTGACATTTAACCCCTCAGCATACAGTATTTGTGGCCTAGATACCCATAGATCAGTGTGTGCAGTTTTAGTAGGGAACCGTGAAACGATTGGCCAGATGCTCCCATGGCTGCCTCACACGTGTGTCCTCCCCAGGCATGATCAACTTGCTTTGGTGGCTCTGCTGGTGCTGGCAGAACCGGCACACACTGCCCTACTGGTGGAAGTGCGGTCTGGTGGTGCTGCTGCTGCACGGCCTGGCCCTACTGGAACTGCTGGACTTCCCCCCCCTGCTCTGGGTGCTGGACGCCCACGCTGTCTGGCACCTCAGCACCGTGCCCGTCCACTTCCTCTTCTACAGGTCAGGACCACTGCCCTGTGGCCTATCCTCCTGTTGCAGGTAGACCTATAATAGGAGGATGCCACACACATTTTGCTGGTGTTAGGATTATAATTTGTACTTTTGGTAATTAGCCCGTCATCCCCCATAATCTCAGCTTTTACCAGCTCCAGTTACCCTACAAGCTCCTGCAAGCCTTCCTTTGATCTGATGGTTCAGATTGTCGCACATCTGAACAGCAGCACACAGCTGGGTTAAGTTAAATTTGCATACTTTGAATGCAGTGGTGCCTAAATGACAGCAGAGCATTTACATGATGCGCTTCAAGCAAAGCAGGAGCCTTCAGTTGGCTTTTGTAAGCGATTACTGACGGCTTGATTGGCATTTAAGCTCTTGAGTGTGTTAAACCACGTGACTCTGACATGTCGTCCCCGTGTGCTTTTTGTGACCACTGCCCGCACCTCTTTGTGTTTCAGTTTCTTAATAGACGATAGCCTGCACCTGCTCAACACGGAGAAGGCGGGGGTCAAGCTGGACTAGGAGGAGCGGGGCACCCACTAAAATGAGGCGTGATTCAGCCTCCATCAGAAACTCCACTGGTTCTTTGCTGTGTGATGAAGCTTTTGGATGTAGGTTTTTGCTGGGGAAATGGTCCATTTTCTTATTATTATTAATTTATTCATAATTATGTTTTGCATTCACTGATGGATCATCACTGTTTGTAAGGAATAGGTCCAGTTCGACATGATAGTTCAAGTGCTTTACCATAGGCATAATTCAGTGTCCCAACCCAAATGGCATGCCTGAACCATATAGCCTGGCTCTTTCTGTGTGTTTTAGGAAGGGTGGAGCGCTGGACTCTGACAATATATACTTTGGTTCTGCTGCCATCTAGAGTTTCAAATGAAAACATTTACTGAATCTTAAGATTAGATGTTTTAATATTTCACAGTACCAGTATGTTGCTGTGGTGATTTGTCAGTGAAGTAAACATCGAATGCACATGGATTTGAAGGGAAACACAAAATTGGGCTTTTCAATGGGTGCTGTGAACAATAGTTGCTGAAAAATGGCCTTTTTTGTTTGAGCTGCAGTGCTGAAATTAGCCAATTGGTGGCACCTTTGCTCCACTCACAAGGAACTTCATCCACTATACTTGATGCTTTGTGCCAAACAAGAGAATAATGTATCAGGTGCCTTTGAAGTTTGCTGAGGTTATAGTGTTCACCGGAGTTTCTATTGGTCTTAACCCCCCCCTCCCCCCCCATATCAATATTTTACTGCTGCTTTATATTTACGATGGTATCAGTTCTCAACTTTATTTTATTATGCTGATTGATTTTGTGTATCCAAAAAGAGGTGGCTTTGCCAATGAATCATATTCTTGTTTACTTGGACTGCTTTCATGTTTGTAAGGTAAGCAGACAGATAGTCAAATAACAGTTTGAAGTGGTAAAATAAGGGGAGGTGAAGAGGACCATTGGAAGGAAAATGGAAAGGAATAAGGCACTGTGGTATACTCCATGGAGCATGGGAGTTTCTTAGTGTAGATACTCTGTATATACCCTGTGTGTGTCTCAGGTTGAGGGTAATGGGCAAAAATCTGGGTCCATGTCTCTCTATTTTGTCTTGACACATGACGACATTACATTGTTCAGTAGTTTCATTTTTTTCTTGCACCCTGTGATGGGTTGGCGCCCTGTCCTGGGTTATTCCCTGCCTTGCGCCTGTAGCTTCCGGTATAGACTTCGACCCCGTGCTCCTGCAGAAGACAAGCGGGTACAGAAAATGAATGGATGGATTTTCTCATGTACAGCTTTCAAGCTTACATGTTCTGGAAAGTGGTTCATTTGTGCTTGTGCTTTTGTCCAGCTGGAGATAGTGGAGGTATGACTCTCTTTTGGCCAGATGTTAATGTTTCTTTTTTTATATTGTTATTAAGCATCATTCTTTTTTCTTGGTGTAATTTTATAAAGGAAAAAAAAGTTAAAAGGTGTGTGTATATTATAAATGTCAAACAGACAGCTCCAGCTAACTGCTGGTGTGTGCTTCCATGATTTGCTTTAGTCTTCTGTCATGAGCATTGTTTGTCACTTATTTGTGTACGGGAGTGTGCATGTGTGTGTTTGCGTGCACGTGTGTATGTCCTTGAGTTTGAGTGTGGATTTGGAGCAATGAGCTTCATGAGTTTGAAAACCAAGTACATCAGTTGATTGACCCTCAATTCACTTCATGATCTTTCATACTTGAAGAGCAGAAGACCATCCCTCATACTGTGAAGCTTTGATAGAGGCTAAAGCGAGTCCCGGCCTGCTCTGTTACCTACAATTGTGAATATAAACAAGCTGTCAAACAGTAATTCTTACAGGTTTAGGTACATTGTCACAGTTATTATGATGTCATTTTTTGCCTCTTACCACTGATGAAATTAAAGAACATCAGCTAAAGGATTTGTCTCTGGTACCACAGTTTGGGAATTCTGGGGATCTCCAGCCCCTCTACTCCTCTTTTACAGTTGGCCAGCATGACCAGACTCCTTTGGTTCAGTGCTGCACCCTGACTCTTACATTGTGTGCTGTATTTCATCTCACAGAAAGCATTTTCCCCCTATCTGGCACCACATGGTTGTGAATCAAACTTAAAAAAAAATCAATAAAGTGTCTTGTTATTACATATGGTTCTAACATTTCAGTTTGTTCTAGTTCACTCACAGTAACTCAGAATAAGGTCTGACAAGAAACTAACCATTCCACTTTCATGCTGGACTAGTGGTGCATTCATGTCTCTTCTGATGCTATTAAGCTCAGTTCAGCCAGCAGTTTCACATATAATGGTTTACCACAAAGCTTTCTTTCGTCCTCTGAGGGAATGATTGGTTCAGTTAACCTTGTGTTTCAAAGACTAGTTTAATATCTTGATACCAGGGCAGGGACATTTCTGTGGAGTCAATCCTCACAAAGTAAACAGATACAGAATTGCTGATCTACTGCATTGTTCGGCAACACTTTACTTGAAGCAGTCTACATAAGGGTGACATGTAACCATCATAAGAATGACATGACAGCAAAAACCGAATGACACATTATGACAACAGTCATAAACATCAATAATGTGTCATTAATGTGCATGACATGTGTCATGTCATTCTTATGATGGTTACATGTCACCCTTATGTAGGCTGCTTCAAGTAAAGTGTTACCCATTGTTCTATAGGTCAGGTGCTGTGCTCATCTTCATCTTATGGATTTAATCCTAATGAATGGTTACTGCTCTGTGTGTTGTTTTAGCATTCAGAGCCTCATTCACTCTATAAATCAACATGGATCTTACATTTATTTTTATATGTGGCTTTCACAACCAAGTTACTCCAAGGTGCTTTGAATGGGTGTAATATCTTCCTGCATCATTTGTAAACAACAACTCAAAAACAGGGAAAAGGGAAGCAAAGAAACAAAGCAAAAAAGCCAGATGACAACAGAAGAGAGTTACCAAAAACTCCCAAGTAGGGGGAAAATAAAACCTCTGGGGGTCCATGTCAGCTGGCTAACCCCAGTGGTACAGTGCAGCTCTGCTTGTGCTCCAAAGGCTGTGGGTGTGAATACTCTGGCAGGTAGAGTAATATCACTGCTGGGCTCTTGAGCAAGGCCCTTAACCCCAACTGCTCCAGGAATGCTGGCCCACCCTGCTTTCTGTCAAACAGCTAAACAACAACAAACAAACAAACATAAAATTAGTTCATCTTGAGACTTTGGATTAAGGTGGCTTACGGAGGTACGGGGCATCTAATTGGTAGCTTCAGGGGGAAATGACGAAGATTCCTTTGCAAATGATTTACATCAGAACAGATTATACTCGCGAGAACTACCCATACATTTTGAATTTCCATCAGGTCTGGTAGTATCATTGCTCCATATTTCTCCATTTTCATGTTTACCTGTGACTCCCTGCTCCTTACCATCGTTTGTACTTCTTCACATCCATGAAACGGAATATGCTGGCACTGTGTTATAAGGTAACCAATGCATACAGTATATCAAACAAATACAATCATAACAAAATATTTTGACAGTTGCATTTTAAATTATATGATTGATTTGACCAGTTAAACAGTGCAGCTCATAGACAGGACCTGGGCAATTATTTTCTGTGGATGGCCAAATCCAAAATGTGCCAAGTCAGCAGGGTCTATTTTTCATGATTACTTTCAGGTCCGATTAAAGCTACAATAGCAGACATGATTTTACTTTTTTGAAAATGCATGCAGAAATCAATAGAACCAGTTCATTTTACTTATATATTGAATATAAAAGAAATAAAAGAAAGATTTGTGGGCAAAAATCTGTTGATCTTTATAGATTTGAACATAAAACTTTAAAATAGTTACATGTATTTTAATGATTTTTTTTTTATTTTAATAGCTTTTGCTCAGGTCTGCCGGACATCCTGTAAACCCCTCACCGGTTTATGAGTAGCAGCGGCGCTCCCTGATTTAAGTTACTAAACTGACTAAACTACTGTATCTACCGGCCCCGTCACCGCCACTCCCCATCCAGGCTCTCACGGCAGCGCGCTGCGCGCCTCCGCGCCGACCCAGGGGCGAAAGCCGTAGCATTCGATTCCGCACGAAGCACCACGCCGGGCAGCCGAAAAAGCAACTTTCTTGCCGACTATGGAGCAGTGATTTGCGGCGCTATCAATGGAGGCGACCTGGTCTTCGCTGTTACTCGGGGTCGTGCTCATATCAGCGACAAGCACATCAGCCAGGGAAGGTGAGTCATTATTCCTAACTTTTCCGAAACGGCATGAGCAGGAATGACACTACGGAAGGGCAAAGCGGCGCTACAAAAGACGAGCGAAGCGGACTTAACGTGACTTATAAAAAGCGTGTTTCGATCGCAAAAAACGTGGGCATTGTGTCAGACAACAGCAGTTCACATTCTTGTTCATGTTAATCCTGCCCTCTCTAGCGGTGTACTGAACGTTATGACCGATGACCTATCGTACGGCGTGTCCACAGTCTTTTAAAACTTAACATGATATAATTATAACATTATTATTTTCTACATGGGGCACTATTATTTGCCAAATCGGTTCTTAAGCATTATTCGGCATAATTGGAGTACAACGTGGAAATGGCACGTAAGCGCTGAGCACTTAAAAAATGTAAAAACCGGCTCTGCAACTTTCACTGGCGACATCCAGCGCGAATCCAGCCGCTAAATGAGATATGTTCCTGGCCGGGGGAAACACTAAAACTCCAGATGTGATGCCTTTCACTCGTGTCTCTTTTATCTCTTTTCCTTTCTCTGCCTTTCTTTCCCCCCCTCTCTTTCTCTCTCTGTTTCTTTCAACTTGTTCCTTAATGTCTATTACGACTAACAGCATCCTTTCTTGTGGAAAGGAGCGGTGAACTTGTCATGCATGTTAACATAATTAACATGTTCAGCACGTTGTGTTTTCTTGCAGGTGAGCAGTCATTGCTGTGTTCTGTATAGTTAATATCGTTAAAATGAATGATGTTTTAATATATTACATAATGTTTAAAAACCACTACTAGATAATTAAATTATGTATAATTGGCCCTATATGTAGGCCTACTCAGTGATTTTTACCTGCTTATACAATCAAGTATATATTTTCTGATTTATATTGTTTAATACTAAAAATAACATTGTTTCTTCCATGAATCTTTGGTGTTATCGGAACACAGGGAGCAGGTAGAAAGCATGAGAGGATGTACTGAAAAATCTCTCAAATTGTACTGGCAATTTGTATAGCTGAAGACAGCGAATGAATATCCAGATGTGTTACTGATTACAACAAAATACACATTACTTGAATTGAATTCCACCATGACAAGCAAAAGGATAATTATTATTATGTGTAATGAACTTACTGTCGAGTAAGGGTATTAATCGTTGGATCCAAGGTGATATGATTTGATTATGATCATTGAAGGAATGATATGATGTATCGGAAGTCTTTAATTTCTATCATATTTTGAAAACCTAAATTCAAACCTTTTCGGAATCAAAATCTATCTCAGAATCTTTATTGCCACATAACTAAGGCCAGTGGAAATTTGTTCTGGCACGGCTTGTTACAGTTAGAGGCACAATGAGAATAGATGGTTAACAACAAATGCAAATACAATTAGGGTGACATCTAATCCATGTCAGGGGGGACACTATGGGCTAGGATGGGGATTGCAAACTACAGATTTTAATTAAAAAGACCTGGATTTCACTTTAACATTTAGTTCTTGCTGTGTGCTGGTTGGTCAGTGTCCTATAATCATGCATGTGTCACTAATGTTAATGTGAAACAGCTGAATGAGTCTTTCAATCAAGGATACAAACCAGTAAAAGCACAAGAACTGAACTAACTAGTCAAGCACAGGAGCCTTTCAGTTTTAAAGTAGTTTGTGAAACCTGAAGTAGCTCATAGTCCCCTCAGACATGGATTAGGTGGTCAGCCTGTACACAACAAAGAGGCATAAATGCAAGGTACGTGATAAGCACAAGTGTGCAAATTTAGATTCATTTTAGTACAAAGCAGAAAATTAGCACATGTATAATACAAACAGTGTGCATCCCTACATATAGTGCATAATGTACATCACAAGAAATGTGCTGTTCCATCGCATCCATTTTCTGAAACCGCTTATCCTATTCAGGGTCACGGGGGGTCCAGAGCCTATCCCAGGGGCCATGGGCGCAAGGCAGGGAACAATCCAGGATGGGATGCCAACCCATCACAGGGCACACTCACAAACCACATATGCACACCTACGGGTAATTTCGAAAATCCAATGAAATCCAATGAAAATCCAAGGGGTCCAGTGTTTTTGGATTATAGGGGGAAACTGGAGTACCCAGAGGAAACCCACATGGAGAACATGCAAACTCCACACATATGGATCCTTGTTGGAAACTCGAACCCAAGTCCCAGGTGACAGTGCTAACCACTGCACAACCATGCCGCCTCCGGAATGTGCTATTATAAGGTGCAAATAGATTGTCTGGGCTGAGGTGAATGTAAACATTGGAATGGTGTAATTATTTTTTCACCACTGGGAGCCATTGATGAAATTTTCAAAGCTTATTAGTGGAATGACATTAGGCTTATATCGGTCTTTATATGGATGGAAAATGAAATATGAACCTGCGACTCACGTTTACTAATGAATTACAAACATGTTGCTGGTTGCTACTAGGGCAGCACGATATATCACTTTAGCATCGTCATCACGATGTACGCACGTGCAATAGTCACATCGCAGGATGTGCAATGTCAAGTAACACCGATTAAATTAAGCGGCGCGGACAACGCTTTTGGTGTTTTTGCTAAACTAACAAATGTCACACTGTTCTTATTCTTAAACAATCCTCAAAAGACTGTCTAATGTAATTTAGGTCAATTTAAAGGTTTTTTGATATGGAGCCTACACGCAGCTTTGCACGCTCAGCTAACAAACATGTTGATCACAGAACGAACCACCAACCACAAACATTCTTCATCAACTTGCTCCCTCTCGTCGTCATTTCACTACAGAAAACACCGAAAAAAATGAAGATTTTGTTGCAAAAATAAATGCTGCGTAGAATTATTTCGGCTACAGAAAACATGACGTAGACCAAAAACAGGTCATTTGTTCATTTGTCGACAGTGCCTTGCAGTTTTTGCCACAACACAGGGAAACATAACTAATTTGTTTGATCATTTAAATTAGCAACACAAAGCCCTGTATGATCTGTGCGAAGCAAAATTTGATTACCCTCCCAAGGAAAAAACTATTTCAAATGCTTTTGCCTGTGTTACACCATATGTGAGGTTCCAACCGATATGATAACTTTCCATCTTGCAAAAGACATGGTACCAATTAACAGAGTCAGCAAAGAGGGTTTTAAAAACATGATCCGGTCGCTTGACAAGTGGTATATAATACCGTCAAGGACCTATTTTTCACAAATTGCCATCCCGGAGCTGTACAAGAAATGCAAGGCAGAAGTTGAAACGGAACTTTCAGCGGTACAATATTATGCAGCTACAATGGATTTGTGGTCTAGCCGAACAACGGAGCCCTACGTAAGCCTGACTGTCCACTTTATTAATGATGACTTCCATTAATTAGACGACTTGAACTAATTAGATTTTTTAAAATCCTAATATCACAATATTGTCACGACTGGTGGGCGGGCGAGCAGGAAAGCAGGCGAGCTGAGCCGTGAAGTCGGACAAAACAGGGTTTAATCGTACTAGGACTAGCAGACGTGGAACAACACATGACAATACAATGACAAGTCTGGGAACCTGAGGGAGACGCGAACTCATATACACAGGACAAGGCAAAAGAAACAGGAAACAGCTGGGCACAATCGGGGAAGCACACGTGGATAATGAGGGGGCGTGGCACACACTAGGATCGTACGAAGCCGGGCATGACATAACCCCCCCCCCCAAAGGCGCGCACACCGGGCGCGCCCGAGAGGAGGCGACGGACGGGACGGGACGAGGGAACAGGACCTGAAAAACAAGAACAAAACCATCAACGAGACCAGGGAAACAGGACCGAGTCACAAAACAGAAACAGGTATGAGAAGAAGGACAGGACCTGACAAAGTACGGGGAACGCGGACAGACAGACCAGGAAGGGAGACACGGAGGGCACAGAAGGAACACCCACAGGCGACACGAAGGGGCCAGGGGAGAACAGAGGAGACACAGAGGGCGGAGGAGTAGACACAGGAGGCAGAAAGGGAAAGGGAGGAGGAGGAAGGGAAGCCCGAAGGAACCCAGGCGGGCGACGGGCAGCAGCCGGAGGGGCCGCAGGCGAGAGGGAGAAGGGAACAGAAGGGGACCACCCAGGGGCCAAGGGAACGGGACGAGGGAGTGACGGAGGGGACACGGAGGGAGCAGGAGGGGGAAGCCACGGCAGGCGGAGGCGCAGCCGGAGCCGGCGAAGGCGCCGTCCGACGCTCAGCCGGAGCAGGGGGGCCCAGAGGCGGCCGACACGGAGCCGGATGCGCGACCGAGGACCGGCACCGAGGATCCAGGGGGGGACCCGGCGGAGACCGCCGACCCCGAGGTGCAGGACCCGCAGGCAGCCACCAAGCCACAGCCAGGGGCCGAACGGGCGAGCTAGGGGGCAGGGCGGGCGGGACCCAGGCCCGACGCCTGTGTCCCCGTCCCTTACGGGACACTGACAGGCGGGGTCCTGGGGGGCGTTGGCCTTGCCGGGGTAAGGGCGAGGGAGTCAAGGCCTCTAATGTGGGTGTGGTCGCAGGCGGGGCCACGGGCAGGACGGGAGAGGCGGCCTCAGGCAGGGCCGCGGGCAGGACGGGAGAGGTGGCCTCAGGCAGGGCCGCCATGACTTGGCCAACAGGGGGCGCCGTGGCGGGCGCCTCCGTCACGTGGTCAGCAGGGGGCGCCTCGGCGGGCGCCGTCATCACGTGACCGCCAGGGTGCGCCTCGGCGGATGCCGCTGGCGTGCGGCCAGCAGGGGGCGCCCTGGTGGGCGCCGCCATCACGCGGCCAGCAGGGGGCGCCACAGCAGGCACCACCATCACACGGCCAGCAGGTGGCGCAACCGCGGCCACCTCAGTCAGTTCAGGCGCCGGCAGGACAGGCGAGACAGGCAGTTCAGGTGCCGGCAGGACAGGCGAGACAGGCAGTTCAGAAGGGAGCGCCTCGGCGGGCGCCGCCGTCACGTGGCCAGCAGGGGGCGCCGCCATCACGCGGCCAGCAGGGGGCGCCGCAGCGGGCGCCG